CATATCACCTACAGGCTCTTCCTCTGAGCTGTGTAACATTAATTAATAATCAGTCTTAGATCATATTATGACAGGATCTATTATTATCAGTCCCCTAGCAACTAGCCCAATGGTTATAGGCTGCTTGAGCAAAACTAATCCCCTCAGCCCAAACCATTGCCCATTTTTACCTAGCTAGTGGGTCACTGTTCAACTCCAGAAGTCCTAAACTGCCCCCAATACCAGCGTTCCTCCGACGCTAATAGGAACTAAATGCAGTGTCAAAATACAAGGAATGGTGAGGCAAGCAATCTTGCCGGCCACCCAGCACACAAGTGCCATTGCAGAAAACCTATGCGTCTTTCAACTTGGTCCAAATAAATTCCAAAAACAATTTAATCTTTCCCCCCAATTCCTACATTTCCCTAACAGATAGTTTATTATCATCGCTCAAAGTATCCTAGACTCAAGTTGCTAAGGCATCCTGCTTCATGATGATTATTTGCTTTAGAATAAGGAACATAAATATAACCTGATAATGACATGACTTCGCTGGAGAGCTTAATTTTTAATGAAATTCTGCAGGAAGTCTTTATGTAATGTAGTTTTTTTTATCCCATTTTAAATTTATTTTTTACTTAAATTAGCCTCTTATAAGCCAGAGTCGTTAAGAAGATTCGGACAGGTAAGAAGAGATACAGGCCTTACAGCAAAGACTGAATTCATTTGACTGTGGTAGCAGTGGCATCACTCAACTCACTGTCTACAGGTACAGTTTTGAAGAACTTCACACTCGGGTCCTTCCTAGCAATGTGGACATTCTGTTAACACACACGCTTCGTTTCCATAGAGAACAGAAGAGCGACACTGCCCTCTCGGAGGCGAAACTGCGGTCTGTCTTGTACAATACCCAGTCCATTCTGGCCATCTCATGCGGACATTTAAAAAAGGAGCGATTTGGAAAATGTTTCTTCTCCAGCCAAGGGCTGTTCTTAAATAAAGGCAATGCTCAGTGTACAACAAGAAATCTTCTCTGAGGGAAGAAATGTGCCAGGAGAGGAGAGGCAAGGCTGGGGATCAAGCCGGCGAGCGTGAACGCTCGGCGCGCCGGCGGCGGGCGGCAGCGCAGCGCGGGGACGCTCTGGCCGAGCAGCCGCGGCAGCAGCAGGAAGTTTCAATGGGGCCGGGCAGAGCATGCGCCCTGCACCGCGCGGTGGCCTTATGTGGAAGGAGCACCACTTGCGAACACCAATAATAGACCCGCCGCACCAGAGAGAGAAACATGAGCAACAAGCACCTTCTTCAACTGTTTCCCCCTCGTCAGAGCCCCTCCTCCAGCCTACACTAACCTCCCCACCCCACCCTGCAAACGGGAGGGCGACTCCTTCCCCGAAACCCTGCTGCCAAGAGGGGGGCAGGGATTGGAAAAGTGGGGAGATGCTTTTCTATTATTTGGGGGGAGGTGGGGAGAGGGAGGAGGAAAACTATGGAGGATGAGGAATTAACCCTCTCCTCTCCGAAGTGGAGAAGCTGAACGGACTTGGCCCCCCGACACCAGAACCGAGAAGGACCCCCCCTCCCGAGGGGAGGGGCGGACCGCCCTAATAGCAGGAAGGAGTTTGGGGGTTAAACCCGTCCACGATGGAAAAGGAAGGGGGGCGCAAGCCGACTCTCTCCGGGGAGTTCCCACCAGAGGGAGGGAGAGTTGAGTGTCCGCTGGCTCCCGCCCACCCAGGTGGAGGGGAGATAAGGGCGCGCCCCAGAAGACCGGCCGAGCCTCCCCCGAGAAGCCCTGGGAGTACGGGTGGGAGGAGGGGAAGGAGCAAGAGAGAAGAGGAGGAGAAAGCGCAAAGCTGGCCGGAACCTGCGCTCCCCTGCCCCCGCCACCAGGCAGAAGGGGTGGGGGACCGGCCCCGCGGCGCGGAGCAGTCCCAGGGGCGGCGACCGGCGCGACGCCCCCATCCCCGCCCGCAGCCCACACCTAGCCTGCGACGCCCCCACCCTGCTCCAGCCAGGCCGAGTGGCCCCAGGGGGCCTCCGCCCCGCCTCCACA